GCGGCTGCCGTGCGCGGCGCGGGGAGGGGGGGGCTGCCCAGGGGTGTGTCTGGCGGGGGCATTTCCCAGCTCAGACAGATGGAGCGGGATTAGAGCTGCGGCTCCCCAAGGGCTGCAGCTCCCCGAGGGCCATGGCTGGATTTGGCAAGGGGTAAGCACTCAGCGGCGGAGGGGCAGCACCAACGTCCTGGGGTGGGATGGCGGGGACCCTGGGGGACATGGTGGCTGTGTCACCAGTGCTGCCATTCGCCAGCCCTGAGTGATCCTGACCGCTCTCTGTGTCTTGCAGCGAAGGCGTCTTCAAGTGCCCGGAGGACCAGCTGCCCCTGGACTATGCCAAGGTGAGCCCGGCACGTGGCCAGGGTACCCCGCTCTGAGGGGACGTTCCTGTCCCCTGTGCCCCCACCAAGGGGCTGGCCCCGGGCTCTGCACACCCGCCTGGCACAGCCGCACCAGCCTGGCACAGCCGCCCGTGCGGAAGCAAGAGAGAGCCCTTTGTGCCGCAGGGCTGGGGAACGGAAACCCGCTCCCGACAAAGGGTGCTTGTTTGTGTGCTGGTGGGGGGGATCCGGCGCTGGGCAGTGTGCCTGCGGCTCCTGGCCAGGCTGGGGTGGGGGCTCCGTCTACCCCTGCAGCCTGGCGCGGGATGCTGATGCCCAGTGCTGCCTCCCCAGATCTACCCTGACCCAGAGCTGGAGGCGCAGGTGCTGAGCCTGGGCATCAGCTGCATCCACAGTGAGGAAGGCTGCCGCTGGAGCGGGCTCATCAAGCACCTCCAGGTAGGGACTGGCAGGATGGGAGGGGGGGGGGGCAAGGCTGCACCCCATGGCCCCCCTCACTGTCTCTCTGCCCCCCAGGCCCATCTTGGCACCTGTGGCTTCAACGTCATCCCCTGCCCCAACCGGTGCAGCGCCAAGCTGAGCCGCCGCGACCTGCCCGAGCACGTCCAGCACGGCTGCCCCAAGCGCCGGGTCAAGTGCGAGTTCTGCGCCAGTGACTTCACCGGGGAGGCCTTCGAGGTGGGCGCTGCGGGGGGCACCATGCCGGGGGGCATGACTGTGGTGGGGACACTATGGGGGACACAGCTGGCAGGGGTGTCATGGGGGCATGGCCTGGCTGGGGGCACCATGGGGGCACAACCTGCCCATGGGGACAGAGCCTGGATGGGGCACACTATGGGGGGCACAGCCTGGCCATGGGGGGGGCACCACATGGTCCCATCCCCAGCAGGGCCGGCCGTTGTGGGTGGCTGGAGGGTGACGATGCTGCTGTGGTCCTCAGGGCCACCAGGGCACGTGTCCCCAGGAGAGCGTGTACTGCGAGAACAAGTGTGGGGCCCGCATGATGCGGCGCCTGCTGTCCCAGCATGCCCTGGCCGAGTGCCCCAAGCGCACCCAGCCCTGCACCTACTGCGCCAAGGAGTTCGTCTTTGATACCATCCAGGTGAGACGGGGCCCACAGGGACCATCACCCTGCTGGCTCCTGGCCACGGCTGACGGCCACCCTCTGTCCTCAGAACCACCAGTACCAGTGTCCCCGGTACCCCATGTCCTGCCCCAACCAGTGCGGGACGCCCAGCATCGCCCGGGAGGACATGCCCACCCACCTCAAGGAGAGCTGCAACACTGCCATGCTGCTGTGCCCCTTCAAGGAAGCTGGCTGCAAGCACCGCGTGAGTGTATCCCTAGCCCCGTGCTGGTGTCCCCCTGACCATCCTGCCATGGTCTTGTCCCCACCATGGCATGCACCTGTGCCCCCACAGCATCCCCACACCTCTCCGGCCCTGATGTCTGTCCCATCCCATGTAGCGTCCCTGTTCTGCTCTGTCCCATCCATGTGGCTCCATGGTATCCCCATCCTTGTCCTGCCTCACCCCTGTGTCGCTTTGCCACCTAAGTGTCCCCATGCCATCCCAAACAGGTGTCCCTGTGCCACTCCTGTGTCCCCACAGCATCCCTGTGCCGTCCTGCTCCAGTAACCCCATGCTCCAACGACATCTCCGTGACATGCCCACAGCATCCTTCTGCCCTGTCCCACCCCATGTCCCCACACTGTCCCGTGCCCCTGGCACCCCCCCCCGCTGACGGTCCTGCTGTCCCCACAGTGCCCCAAGCTGGCCATGGGCCGGCACCTGGAGGAGACCACCAAGGTGCACCTGGGCATGGTGTGCGCTCTGGTGAGCCGGCAGCGGCAGGAGATCCTGGAGCTGCGGCGGGACGTGGAGGAGCTGTCGGTAAGCAGCGACGGAACCCTCATCTGGAAGATCGCCGACTATACCCGCAAGCTGCAGGAGGCCAAAGCCCGCAGCAACTACGAGTTCTTCAGCCCCCCTTTCTACACCCACAAGTACGGCTACAAGCTCCAGGTCTCGGCTTTCCTCAACGGCAACGGGAGTGGGGAAAGCAGTCACCTCTCCGTCTACATCCGTGTGCTGCCGGGCGAGTATGACAACCTGCTGGAGTGGCCCTTCTCCTACCGCGTCACCTTCTCTTTGCTGGACCAGAGCGACCCCTCGCTCTCCAAGCCCCAGCACATCACTGAGACCTTCCACCCCGATCCCAACTGGAAAAACTTCCAGAAGCCAGGGGCTTCACGCAGCTCCCTGGACGAGAGCACCCTGGGCTTTGGCTACCCCAAGTTCATCTCCCACGAGGACATCAAGAAGCGGAACTACGTGCGGGACAACGCCATCTTCATCAAAGCCTCAGTGGAGATCCCCCAGAAGATCCTGGCCTGAGCCTTGGTGCCCCAGGGGGGACAGGACGTGAGCTGGGTGCTTGCCTGGGGTGCCCCAAGTGGTGCTGAGCCCCTGCCCGCAGCCGGTACCCCCGGCTGGGGGCCCCCGCCGTGGCCGCAGCCAGCGGCTCTCAGGTAGGCAGGGGATGGGGCTGCTCCCCCACATCCCTCCCGGGGCTGGGACCCTGCTGCAGCCCCAGCTGCCCCCCAGGGCAGCCCCATCTCAGGTGCCTGGGGGTGCCGGGGGGGGGGGGCTGGGCCCCAAGCCCCTCACCAGGGTGCCCAGCAGCCCCTGCCAGCCTCACTGGGGACCCTGTGGGACCCCACTGCCCAGAGCCATATTTTGTAAGCTGGTGCCCCCTGGGAGCACGGTTGTTATTTATTACCCCGGGCTGGGGCCCACTGCCCCCTCCTTGCCTCTTTTTTTTCAATAAAGTTTTCTTGTATTTATTACAGCTGCCTGAACTGCCTTCCTCCGCCTGGCCAGGGACGGGATGGGGGACCCCTGTCCCCAGTGCCTGCCGGCACAGGGGTGCTCACAGTGCAGCTGTGGGTGCTGGGGAACAGGGAGAGCCAGGGCTGGGCTGGGGGCATGGAGGGGGGTAATCCCTGACCCACATCTTGGCAGCAGACGGGCTCAGATGGAGACGGTTAATTCGGTAATCGCCGGCAGCAGGGATGGCTGGGGGGGTGTCACCAGCCCCAGGGTGCTGTTGTCCTGCAGCCCCCCCACCTCCATTAGCACAGGGGCAATTACAGCCCGGGGGGGCGGGGATTCAGAGCAGATAAGGGTGGGTGGGCAATGGCTGGGGACAGGAGGGGCACTGGGGCAGGTTGAGGGAGCCCAGCTGGATCAGGCCCCAGGTGTGTGTCCACCTCCCAAAATCACGCTGGCAGCAATGGAGGGGGTCGCCGTCTCTGCAGGCTAATCCCACAATTGCATTAGTGCTGCCCCAGCTTAACACAACTGGGGGGGGGCAGCGCTGCCAGGTTGTCCCCATACCCTGTCCCCGTCCCGGGAATGTCCCCCTGGGTGGGTCCCAGCCCAGCGGGGGGGGGCCTGGTGCTGCCCCGGGCTGTGGCACAGCCCCTGGGCCGGGGGTGACACCAGCTGGCCCTGGGGAATGGGGCGAGCCGCCTGCCCATACTGGTGCCCAATGCCAGCTCCTACCAGTGCTGCCTTGTCCGTACTGGTGCCCATTGCTAGCCCATCCTGCTGCCCAGTGTAAGCCTGTACCAGTGCCCAATGCTGTTCCTACAGTGGAGCCAAATGCAAGGCCATACTGGTGCCCAGTGCCAGCCTGTACTGGTGTCCATACTGGCACCCAGTGCCACCCTATACTGGTGCCCAGTGCCAGCCCCTACTGATGCCCAGTTCTTGCCGATACTGGTACCCAATGCTAGCCCTATACTGCCGCCCAGTGTCACCCCATACAGGTGCCCAGTGCCAGCCCATTCTGGTGCCCAGTATCAGTCTGTACTGGTGCCCAGTGCCAGCCCTGTACTAGCGCCTGTTGCCAGCCTGTTCTGGTGCCTGTTAACAGCCCATACCAGTGCTGGCCTGTACTGGTGCCCAGTGCAGCCTGCACTGCTGCCTGATGCCATCCTGCCTGGTATCCAGTGCTGCGCTCGGCTTGGGGGCACTGCTGCTCTAGCAGGGTTTGGCTGAGCAGAACCGCAGCCCCACAGACGGCGTTCGCTAGTACCAAACCTGCTGCTCCACAGCACATTTTCCCTCTTTCTTATTTCTTTTCTCTTACAGAGCCTCAACCTGCTTTTTTGCTTGGTCAGGACTGATGGGACCTGAGCTACATAAGGGTAAAACCACCTGACCTGCGTACATTTTATTTATATGTGTTTTATTTTTATATTTATTATATACTTTTTATCTATATAGTTATGTATATCTATACACACACTGTAGAGGAACTGTCCTGTTCCTATAGCCAGGCCATACAGCAGGGTGTTGGCAGCCTCTTGTTGCAGACCAGTTATCTTAAAAAAAAATCCATAGATTATTTATGAACTAAAAGTTTCAGCTATTGTGGTGAAGTGACTCTGGTGAAAGCCTGCACAGCAGTGCCTGGCTGTGCTCATTGACAGCCCAGCACTGGGATGCCATGCTGGGAGCTGAGAGGGAAAACAAACCCAGGGAGCCAGGGACCGTGACCCCGCACCACCTCATCCCCAGCTCAGAGATCTATTTACAACCCTCTGCTCTGCCTGCTTGGGTGTTTGTTTTTTTTTGTCCTTTTCCCCCCCCCCAATCATAAATGTCAAATTTGCCATCAGGTGTCGCTTTCCAGTAGTTCCCAGTGCCGACACTCCAGCACAGAAGCACCCAGTGCCAATCAGCACCGCACGACAGCTCCATTTATCCTGGCACTTTGCAACCGGAGCCACGACG